GTGTGTGTGTGTGTGTGTGTGTGTGTGTGTGTGTGTGTGTGTGTGTGTGTGTGTGTGTGTGTGTGTGTGTGTGTGTGTGTGTGTGTGTGTGTGTGTGTGTGTGTATTTGGGGTAGGGTGTTAAAAGTGCTGTTGGAAAATAAGAAGTGGAAAGGTAAAGATAAAATACAACTTGGTGGAGAGAGACATTTTTTAAAAAGACCCCTGTATCCTTTTTTGTTCATTCATTTACTCTTTACTATTGTTCATTTCTAGGGGTGTGGCATATGCTGGTATTCAATATATTCATCTGAATACCAAATAAATGGCTTTACCATTCTCTGAATGCAAATCTGAACAGTGGCAGAAGAATGGAGCCAGCCCAGTGGTAGAGGGATGGTGGTGAGGGTCTGAAGGTATTTGTGAACCAGCATTGTATTTCAGCAGATGGGGGCGGAGGCACTTTCTTTAACTAATCACATCATTGAAATAAGCACCAAATATTTGATTATTTTTTTAATACATCAGAGGCTTTCTGTTCCATATATTTAAAAGCAAAAAGCACAAAATGTGCTTATTATAGTTTATTGTGTATATAGTGTTACTGCAGGAGCCACACATAATGTAAGCACAGTGGTGGTCTTTGTAAGATGTGCACTTACCATATATTTGCTTTTAGGTAACTGTGGAGGAGGTAATGACTACAACTGCATACCTGGATCTCTTTTTGCGCAGTGTTTCAGAGCCAGCTCTACTCCAGATTTTCTTGCGTTTCATCCTGCTGCACCAGCATGAGAATGTGCACATCCTAGATACGCTCACGAGCCGAATCAACACTCCATTTCAGGTAAGGCAAGCAGGAGGGGAGCACGTGTGCTTTTGATGAATTTGGGTTAACAGAATTAGTGGGAGCTTCATCATATCTGTATTTACTATGGCTCTGTTTAACCTTTAACTGTGAATTTCCTTTCGTACCTGTCTTTGTGATCTAAACATAATGTTGTTTTGCTGTAATTGTTGTCACTTCGCCACTATAGTGATGAGCAGTTTGGGATTGTGTAAGATAGCTGTAGAGTGGTTGAAGGAGATTCTGGGGGGCTTCTAGGAGCCTAACATTTGCCACAAAATAGAAGGCAAGTTTGGAGTAATTTACCTGCCTCTAGTGGAGTTATTCCCACTCTGGATACTGCTAAATTATTCCTGCCATACATAACTCATCTCTGAGATTTGTACAAATATTCAAGAAGAACAATTTTGGTGGCCATATGAAATAGCTCAGAGTGCACCAAGTAACAGGCATTTTCAAATAATTTTCACAGAAGAAACTACCCAGCCCCAAAACGATGAGATCATTATACCCACCTCGCTTCCAAATTACCTGAGTTGAGCACTGTCAATATGCCCAGTTTGTTCTTCAGGAACCAAGTATAAATCTTTCCTGCATGTGTGTTTACCAGTAATGTTGCCTGCTCTTTTGTTTATAAGAGCAATTTTGTTTGTTTGTTTGGCTGTGTATTTAAATAATCAGATTTCCCTCTTCTCTGCAGCACATGTACCTTTAGTACACAGAGCTTATCGCAGGCTAATGCTACAATTTTGCAGACAGACCTAGGGTGACCAGATGACAGGAAGAAAATATTGGGACACAAGGGGGGGGGGGGTCACCGGCAGAGCAAAAAAACCCAAAAACCGAGTGCTGCTGGTGTAACAACACAAACAGCTCCCTCTCCCAATTCCCTATTGTGGCCCAGTGCTGCCAGCAGGGGGGGGGGGAGGGAAAGCCAAGAACAGCCGAGTGCTGCGGGCAGTCAGAGGAGATTATGCACCCTCCCTTAGCTATGCATACCTTCAGCCTCTGGTTTTCAGGAGAGGGGGAAAAAAAAACAACCGAGAACAGCTGAGTGCTGCCCGCGGAGGGGGAAAAAAAAAGGCAGAGTGCAGAGTCCCGACCGAAGATCGATCAGGATGCGGGACAAACACCTAAATGTCAGGATGTCTGGTCACCCTAGACAGACCATTGTTAAAATATTCATAGAAGATCACTGTAGGTAACTAGTTGATGAATATTAGTTGATTAATAATAATCATAATTCATATATAATTAATAATAGTTGGTTTAGTTGGGGATTGGTCCTGCTTTGAGCAGGGGTTGAACTAGATGACCTCCTGAGGTCCGTTCCAACCCTGAGATTCTATGATTCTAATATACTGTAGAGTAACATATGGTATAAGTGCAGACAAAGCCAGAGAATCAGTGTGTGCATTACATTTGTGTGTTAGGGACAGCAGCTTGGACCAGAAGTGTGTTTAGGAATGGGAGTACATGCATCTATGGATATATGTTGCTGTTGTTGCATTTCAGAGATGGATTAACTCTGAAAACTCAAACAGCTTTTGTAGACAAAAAATGCAGATGTTGTCTTGTCTAATCATAATTACTGTTCCACGGGCAAAGGAAATGGGTATTGCAAAGAATTCTCCAGTCCTGAGCAACTCAGGATCTCGGCCAGAATGGTTCTGTGACACTGAATGAGTTTTCTGCAGTATGGCTTGGCCAAGTGCAAAAGCTAGAATTGCAGTTTTCTGTGGGCTTCCATAGAACAAAAGCTGCATGCATTATTATTGCTGAAAAGACTTCTTAATTGGTTTCAGAGTAGCAGCCGTGTTAGTCTGTATCCGCAAAAAGAAGAACAGGAGTACTTGTGGCACCTCAGAGATTTGTTAGTCTCTAAGGTGTCACAAGTACTCCTGTTCTTCTTCTTAATAATTGACATGATTAAATTTACAAGCTCTTTTGGCCACCTATCCATACATATAAACCACCATCCTCGTTGTTTCCTGCTAATACATTTTACATACTTGTTTTCCTTTAATGAAATACAAATAAATAGACTGTCTCTGCTTATTCAAATACATGTTGCTTTCTGATTTTTCTTTACAACTATATTATGAATGCAAGAGATGGGTCTCTATAAATAACATGGTATTTAGTGTAAATAATGTGCCTTTCATAACATTGAAGGAAGTCACTTTGATTTTCTTTAGCAATCATTATTTTGAACCCTTAAATCACTTAGAACAACTCTCCACAAATCACAATAAGAAAACAAGGATAGCTCTTCACCAATCTCTTTCTTTTATCTCCAAAACACCCCAACTCTCTCTCTAACTACTAATCCCTCTCTCTACCTTTGCAAAGACTTCACCTCCTCCTAAGGCTCCTGCAATTTTCCTTCAACCAACCCACCTCTGGGAAGAACCCCACTTTCCCCTGTTCCTGTCATCTCCTCACCTATTTCCTCACTGCTGCCTTCTCCAACTCCCTACACAGTCGCAAGGTTGTGGTTGACTAGTCTCTTCCTATTGGCTTCTGATATTACTGATAGTACCTAACCCACCTTGTACTTATCTTTTATTGGACCAACTTCTGTTGGTGAAAGAGAGAAGCTTTTGAGCTACACAGAGCTCTTCTTCAGGTACAGGTGGCATTTAAATGGGACATGTGATAAGGATTTCCAGCAGGAGTCTGTTAATTGCTCTGAGCAAGAGTTAGGCACAGTCCTCTTTCCTTGGACTAATGTTCTTCTACCTGCCCAACTTAAGGACACCCATGCAGTTCTCCACCAAGACAGTGAACGTTTTTGGAAGGGTTAAAGCACATATGTGTAATTTAATGCCAATGAAGGTAATTTTGAAATTCAAGTTCCCAATCTCTCTCCAGTCTAGTGTAAATTAAGATAGGTACTGCAACATCACAAATAACTTTCATCCTGCCCAGCAACCTCAACACTTTTGTCCTGGATAGATAAACAATTAGTCTCTCCTATACACATAGTGTCAGTCATTCATTACCAGGAAACATGCTTCTTTCACAAAAGAGGGTTCTCTCGGGGTATGTCTACACTAGAGGTGGAGACATACCGTGCTAGTTGTGATTGAGGTATTGCACTAAAATTGGAAGTGTACCTGCGCTGGCGCAAGTGACGGCTCAAGCTAACCACCCCAAGTACATACTTTGCATTTTGGATAGGATCATACTTGAGGCAGCTAGTCCTCATGCTGCCACAACTACATTTTTATTTTTAGCACCCCAGCTTGATCAGAACTAGTGCGTGTATGTCTACTTGAGCTGGAATTTACACCTTCCAGCTCTAGTGTAGACATACCCTTAGTTTGTGAGATAACTGAACTCTTTCCAGCAAAGGCCTTCAGCTGGTCAAACTAAGTGTGTCAGAGATAAAAGCTAATGCTTTATCCACTGAGTTGGCCAGAAGCCCTTTATTGCTGAAACCAAATTAAATTAAATTGTCTAAAATAGCAAAATTCCTTTAAAAGGTGTGCTGTTTCTCACTTTTCAGTTCTTGCAAACTTTTCTCCTTCATTCAGCTTCTTAAAAGCAAATTGCTGTTTTGTGTGTATTTTATAAAAATATATTTTGGTGTATGTATAACTTCAAGCATCTAATAAAATCCTACCAGGATGCTGACAGAATGAAATAAGCATACTTTCAGTCTCTGCTAAAGCACTAAATTCAGGCTGTGCTTTCTAAAATGCAGAATTAAATTTACCCCATGGGAGGGACAAAAGTTACAATTGCCAGATCAAAAACTGACTGTGTTTATCATTTTCCAGCTCTGTGTGGTATCTTTGGCATTGTTCAGAACACTCATCGGCTTACATTGTGAAGATGTGATGTTACAGTTAGTTTTAAGGTAAAATCCACACTCCTTTTTCTATTCTAATTCTCCAGTAGGAAGTCTCTGGATGTAAAGCTAGAGCTCTTAAAAGGAACAAGCAAACAAATACAGAGATAAAACACTTGTTTCTGACACAAATATACCAAACCAAGAGAGGCACAGTTTATATATCCTATCGTACCCAGGCACAATGAGAGACACTACTTTTCACATATTCTTTTGTTGTAATTTATTTGTAGAAAAGTGAGGGAACAGAATCCATGGATTATTTACCACCTCTAAAGGTTCCCTGGTTCTAAATTTGTAATATTTTTTCAGTTCTGAACATTTTCTCTCATGAATTATATTAGCAGGGCTATACACCGCCACCTCGATATAACGTGACCCGAGATAACACGAATTCGGATATAACTTGGTAAAGCAGTGCTCCAGGGGGGCGGGGCTGCACACTCTGGCGGATCAAAGCAAGTTCAATATAATCGCGGTAAGATTTTTTGGCTCCCGAGGACAGCGTTATATCGAGGTAGAGGTGTATTTACTTTTCTGCAGCTTCCAAACCTTTTTACTCCCCCTTGCCCAGGAATTTCTCAAATAAATTCCTGACCTGTTGTACCCAGGGTAGAAGGACATGCTGCTTTAATTGTGCAATGTCCTGGATTAGTTGATTTCTGCTTTTAACTGAGCATTTCTTGAGTTATATCAGAACCCTCAGTTTACATTTTTTAAAAATTTTTCTAGCTGCTTTTCTTTATTATTTTTATGTTGTTATTTTAATAAGTGTGGCTGGCATGTCTGTTAGAGTTAGATTAGATTGGATCAAATCAGGTCACTGGTAATTCATCTTAGATGTATTAACAATGACATAATCAGTAACTCAATGGGAAATCCAGGGGTGCTAGCTGTCTCTCAGTGTCTCTTTCCCCTCCCTCCACTACAAATTACACTGGGATCTCATCCAGTCCTTGCTGGTGTATGTGGGTACGTTAGTAGGGACTAAACCAGATCATTATATAACTGTGGGAAACTCAGAGTTGGTAAGATTCCTCCACTGACTTTAACAGAGGTGAGTGCTACATTTATTTTTGTATTGTGTTATTTATTTGGGGAGTCGCTTGTTATTAAACACTGATTTACTTTAAATGACAAAACACCAATCTAGTTAACCCCTAAATCACTCTAAGAAACAGAATGCAAGTATGTGCTATGTCTGCTCCTCGTCCTTCCATAATCCCTCCTCTGCCCAAGAGCTTTATATGTTGATTCTTCCCAACAATATTACCCAGTTAGAGACATGCAGTGTCTCAACTTGTATTTATGTGCTGGCTCTTTCTGTGGACTGGGCTCTCCAACCCTTCCTCGCTAACTCACCCTGAATAGAGCCAGACAAACTGGCGCCCTCTGGCATGTGCCCATCCTATTCCACTGCCCGTCCCTGCCCACATTTAGGACAATGCTCTGACACAATCCTGGTCTAGTGGTTTCCTCTAACTACCCCCACAGGCATTTCCTCCCAGGAGCGCCTGTCCTTCCCTTCCTCCTCTAGACTGGAGCCCAGTGTAGCTCATCAGACTCCAGACCTACCCCAGAAAGCTGCCATGTTTGATGTTCTTAAGGAGATGACTGTAATTTGGCAGATTGTGTTTTTTAATTTGAGCAAAGGGGAAGGTGAGAGGAGAATTTTCCACACAGCTACTCTCCTTAAAATACAAGGAATGTTGTTGTGGGTGTATAACGATTGGCTTTGTTGTTTCAGATATCTGATCCCATGTAATCACATGATGTTGAGTCAAAGATGGGCTGTGAGGGAAAGAGACTGTTATTCAGTATCTGCTGCTAAACTGCTTGCTTTGACCCCTGTCTGCTGCTCTACTGGGATTACGCTGACTGTTGAAAACCAAGCAAAAGATTACATTTTATGGACAAAGGCCACACCCGGTGCAGGTAAACATTGGGTGTGCATTGTGCTGTGAAGGGTTTGGTTTGGAATATCCTCAGCATAGGGTGGGAAAGTGAACATAGTAAATTCACTTATTTGATATTAACCATTAATATTTCACAAAGAATATGTAATTAGTCTGGATTGGAGAGGGCCAGCATTTAATCACTCCCACATGGGAGCTCTATCAAATCTGTATTTGAAAGAATATCCACGTTGGATGTACATTCACAAAAACGTGTGAAGATGTGGCTACATCTTATGCTACTGGAGGGGCAGTGTGGTCTGATGGATTGGGCTCCAGGCTGGTCTCTCAGAATTCCTGAATTCTAATGCTGACTCCGGATTTTAGACACAGCCATGGGCAGCCACAAGCAAATCTCTTAACTTCTGTGTCTTGGTTACCCATCCCCTTTGGGTGCTTGAGGCAAAAGTATCTTCCTGCCCTTCTTAGCAGCTGCCTTGCATTACTGTAGGGACTTCAGTTTGATTTTTTTATCATATTGTGAATACTCTTGTTTTATCTCAGGTTCTTGCATAGGCTATTGCGAATCCATGTGCATTGTGAAATACGGAAGAGCTGTGGACATCAGTTACCTGCAGTACCTGTGGGAAGCTGAAGCCATCATTCTCCACTGCATGAAAGACTGCCGGGTTTGGTCTGCCCCATATAATGGGGAAGACCCTGACCCAGACACCTTTATCCAAACGCTGGCAGAGGAGAACAGTAAAAATGTGGAGCATCCTATGTTCCAACTCCAGCAGCGAACTTCCAGTAACGGCAGCTCCTCTCAAATTACTCCACTGGGAGAGAAGATACAGATGGAGCTGGAATGGGATGACAGCTACGACACAGGGATTTCTCCTGGGTCTGATGTGAGCTCACCCCAGCCTTATGATGATCTAGGGACTGTAGAGAGACAACTGCCTGCAGAGCCACCAAAGCACATTCAAGAGATGAAGAAGAATGCAATCATGCTTGTCAAAGGGTCTTATATAGAAGAATCAGATTTTCAGGATGATGTCATGGTTTACAGGTTATGTGCCCAAAAGGATGCTCAGGATGATGACAATTCCAAGGAGGAAACTTTAAGTACAGCAACTGAATCTCAAAACACAATTCAAAGCCAGCCCATTAAGAGGTCTTTGAAAAACTCGCATCCAGACACAGATTTAAAGGAACACAATAGGAAAAATTCTGGTTTGCCTCAGGATACAAAGGAACAAATAAACCAGAAAGCTGTTGAAACAGACCCACAACCAGACTTAGAGCTGAAACTCTCTCCTCCAGAAGCAGATCAAAACTCAAATGTGAGGCTGCTGAGCCCAGATAGTGAAGAATTCATTGCACAATATGAAAAAATTATTGAAGAACTGGATTCTAACACAAAAGGCTTGGAGGAGCAGAAATTGCTGACACCTGATCCTGTATCTCCAGTAGAAGAGGAGGAGGACTTCGAAAATTTTTCAGTGGAAACTCCCTCTACAGAAAGTACACTGTCTCCATTTGGGCCAAAGGAGGATACATTTTCCAACCATCCTGCAAGGAGCCAGAATGCTGCATTTACAGGTGGAATTTCCTCATTAATTAAATTCTTTTTGGTGTTTTTACCATCAGGGCCGTCTCTAGGTTTTTTGCTGCCCTAAGCAAAAAAAATTTTAGCTGCCCCCCACCCCAGCCATGGGTTCTCCCCCCACCCACACTCTCTGCCGCCCCGACTCTGGGCTCTCCCCTCACCAGTGCTGACTCCGCCCGCTCCCCCCCCCCCCCCGTCTCCAGCCGGTCCAGCGCTGGCAGGGTCGGGGTAAGCAGCCGGGCTCCTGGGCCGCGCCTCAGCCCTGGGTCCCTCCAGCCGGGGCTCCTGCCTCCAGGGCCATCCAGGACCGGGGAGGACAGAGCCAGGGGACCGTCCTGGCAGGGGGCTGAGGGGCAGGGCAGCCCCAGAGGGATTGGAGCCCCGGAGAACAGAATGCGGGCCCCGCACAGCAGCACCCCGCCCTCTATGGCCCCGCTCCTGCTGCTGCTCCTGGCCACCCTGCCGCAGTCCCTGGGCAGCTCTGGCCGCTTTGCCCAGCCCCAGCTGCAGCGCTGGGGGGCAGCCGCCCTGAAGCACTTGCAGGCGCCTCTGTGCGCCCTGAGGGGTGGCCCCCAGCCCGAGTGTCCCACGCTCAGAGCCCGCCCAGCCATAAGGTGCGGTTGCTGCTCCCAGATACAAACCACAGTGGCCCCAGGGCGCCCCTGGTGCAGGATGCGCTGCTGCTGCCAGGGCCGGCTCTAGGCTTTTGCCGCCCAAGCGCCCCCCAAAAAAGAGGCTGGCTGGAATGCCGCCCCTGAAAATGTGCCGCCGTAAGCACCTGCTTGGTTTGTTGGTGCCTGGAGCCGGCCCTGTTTACCATGTTTATTGCGGTTTATCAGAGCCAACCAAGAACAGGATCCCATTCTAACCGGCAGTGTACAAATATCGAATCAGAGACAGTCCCTGAACTGAGGAGCTTACAATCTAAATAGATAAGACAGGAAACAGGTTGGGGAAAGGGGTGGAACGCGCACAAGCAGAGTGAATAATATGATTGCAGTGAACATTAGGTAATTCCATGATTTCTGGTTTGTTTTAAAAACCCTTTTAATGGGGTCATGGTAGAAGGAGATTAGCGACACTGAAATAGACAGGAAAGGAGAGGGCATTGGTGGCCAAGAGAAAGATGGCAGGAGAGGTTGGAACACCAGTCAATCAGCACAGGAGAGAGGTGTTAACCAATATGAAGGACAGAGGGGAAACATGAATAACAGTAACTTATTATGGTACTTTTAAATTAATATTTACTTTGATACAATGTAACTATGCCATTAAAGTGTGTGGTGCTGTTCTTGGGCTGAAGTTTTTGACCTTCATATTTGTTTAGTTTGTTATAAAAATTTAGAACAAGACAGCACCAAACAGCTGTCCTAACCACATCATTCCAGGGAACAATCCTGCCATTGTGAGTGGTTGGACTATCTGACCTAATACAATAAGTGCACTTAAAATGTCCCATTTCTGCAACTGCTTTGCTACCTATACAGCAGCATCTGCAACACAACAGAAAAGTGATAGACTGCTCTGCCACCAGGTGGCAGCGCTATTGTCATTTCTGCATGCACCTCTTTGCAAGCAGGTCTAGGAATCTTGCTTTTCAAATGCCAATGGCACCCTCACTGTTATGTTTTTCTCTTGTGCCAGGCATCCAGTGAAATTTGGCCACAGAATTATATCTAATCATTGGGAGGACACAATGTATTCAGGCGTGCTTACCCACAGCAAAGTCTGTAAGGGCTGACTTTAAATAACTCAGGGGATACATTAATCTTTTAGTCATTGAAATGCAGCCTTTGAAATGTGGCCAGCAGGCCTGGTGTTCAGTCTTTAAGTATTTGAGGAAGGCAACTTGGTTTTCAAGTGCATTTGCCACTATTGCTGTGATGAGTTCGCTGTACTGGACACTCAAAAGCTCCCCTCATGTCCCTAGGTCACATCCGGCTCTGTCAGTCTCCTGTCATTCCCTGTCAAACATAGTTCGGATACTTTGGCAACATCCCTTTCTGTCTGTGTCAAGTCCTCTTCTCCCCTTTCACTTCCTTTCAAACAACGCTTTGCTACTACCCTTCCCAAGCCACATTTCTCTCTCTTTGTCTCTTCACTCTATTTCAAATGGTTTTCTAGCTGGTGATGAGTGGGGAAGACATTGGCAAAGTTGACTTTGCAATGGGGGTTATGCTATCACTCAAACAAATGACATTTCAGCCATCTCTGTGTTACTATACAGAAAAAGTGTTTTGCATATAATTTGGATCCAGTATTACATTATGTGTTGGTCTAGGGCTCTAATTTGACGGTGTCAACTGAGTGTTATGGGCGCTATTAGAGGAAGGAGCTTTGTTCTACAGAATTAAATGTCCAAACCAAGTCTCTCACCACCAGTAAATCCCACCAGTGTGTAGGCATGCTGCTCCACTATATGACTTGTACCTAAATAAAGACGCTATTATGTGGATGTGGCACTGATGCTGGACCCTTGGTTTAGAAAATGGTGGCTGTTCCTTTAGCATTTATTTGCAGTATAAGATCATTAAACACAAATCTACCTACCTCCATGCCACCCAAACCAGGAAATGTCAGTAATAGAAATATGTGGCAAATAAACTTTTATTATGGGTAGGTCCCCCATATCTCCAGGCACATGCATTGGACCAGGTGTAAAATTTAAAAAATTCTTCTAATTAGTTTGTGTTGCTCCTTTTGAAGCTTATAACTACCTGCTGAGCTGCTCTGATTGTTGCTCTAGTATGGTTCTGGAGGGCCTTTTATTTTTCCTGATTTGTTCAGATGACAGAGACCACCTATGTATTCTGGTCAAGTCTTATGAGGTGGTTCTCAGTTGTTGCTGTAAGTGCCTGGCTTCAGCCTTTGCTGCTCAGATCCCAAGGCTGACTTGGAATTGTTAGCCTCAATACACCTTCTTTTGGAACCTCTTACACAGCTGCCTTCATTGCACGGGGTCAGGGGGGTGGTCGGGAGGGGAGTGTCCCAGCAGTACATTGAGAATGCCACCATGAGAGGAGGAAGGGGCAGGATGATCAGATAGTGCAGGCAGTGCTGGATGAGGGCTTTTTATGTATCCCAGGCAGGCAACGTTGGGTGAAGGCTCTTTATGTATCTCAGCAAAATATTGCAAGACACCTCCATTGGTGGTATTGCAAATGTAGACAGGATCCAAATTAGTCACTGGTGTTTTAACCAGCTGTGAAGTGGCTCAGCCTTCTCGCTTGTCCTTGAGCTGCGTAGAAGTACACTGGCCTTTTGCTGAGGTGTGAACCCCAGCTCCTGCTCCGCTCACCTCCACCTCCTCTGCAAGAGCGCTGCCACGTCCTGCTTCTCCCCCGTCCCTTCCAGTGCTTGTGCCACGAAACAGCTGTTTTGCACGGCAGGAGGGGGAATGTGGCGCACTGGGGGAAGAGGCGGGACTGGGACAGTGATTTGGGGAAGGGATCCAGTAGGGGCAGGGAGGGGGCGGAGACTTTAGGGAAGGGGTTGGAGTGTGGGCGGGGCAGGGAAAGGGTGGAGTCGGGGCGGGGAAAGGGGAGTCAGGGCGGGGTTAGGAACGGGGGAGGCACGAGCACCCACCAGCGCCCGAGAAAGTTGGCACCAATGGTAGTAGAGACATTGCAGCTCAGATCCCACTGTCCTCAAATCCTTATGTCATAGTCCTCCCAGGCTTTGTAGCAGCACCCTAGGGAAGCACATCCAGGCTGTGGGGTTTCCCCAGCAGTCTCATCCCAGTCTTCACAGAATTTGTGGTCTAGCTCCTTGGGCAGCTTCCTGCCAGTTTGCTGCTGACACAGAATAGTCTTTGGCCTCTCTTGCAGCCACTCCCTTCTGCCAGGGCTGCAACTTCTTATTGCGACTGTTGCTGGTCAACTAATTGGCCAGAGCTGGAGAGGTGGCTACTCTGTCCCTTAACCACTGTCCTGTGAATTAGAGTTGGGTGACATGAGAGTTAAAAGCCAATAGTCACCTGCACCCTTGTCTACACTAGTACTTCCACTTGTGCTCTCCTCAGTGGGGGAGATACTGTACCAATATCAGTAGTAGGACGTGTTTTAGAAGAGAGCTAGTGTAGACCCAGCCATACTGTGCATCCATAGTAGCAGTAGTTCTAAAACAAAATGGGCTTTGATCCTCAGCCATGCCCTGTGCCTGATGGGTGGAGCTGCAAAGTAGTTATTTGTGGTTTGGTTCCTTGATGGTTGGGCTGCCCAGGGATTCCTTTTGGCCTCCAGCATAGCTTAGAACAGCCCCACACAGCTGCTGTAAACTGGACCTAGCTATCCAGGACATTGAAGGGGATGGCTTGCCAGCAGGAGCTTGCTGGAGTGGTTACCCCAGTTACGTTCTTTCCTCCAGGCATGCCTCCTATGGCAGGTGTCACAGGAGGTAGCATAGAAGTTGGCTATGCTTTGTGCCACCCAGGGATTCCCCCATGTCAAGGATCCCTATGTGGAGAGAGTTTGCTGGCTTTCCAGTATTCTCACACTGTGGGAGTTGTGCAGAGGAACCAGAATTGGATCAGGGCTGAACCTTATATTTAAGTAACTTTTATAGATTTTCTGTTGGTCTCTTTACTGTCTCCAGCTACATACCTGCTTTATCAGCTAGCAGTATGTACGAATCCATTTTCATTTGCTTAACTCATGTTCATATTGGCAAAGTCTTTGCCAGGCTTACGATGAAGGATATGTACTTTCATTGTAAATAGTTCTGTATTTTAGTGGCTATACTGTAAAATGCGTACAAAAACCAACACTATTATTTAGAAGTGACATTAATCTGATAAAGCCTGCATCTACCAATAGCCTATTTTTATGGCTTCCCCATTTTGTGTGAATTTTTGCGGTGTAGAAAATGTTTGTGTTGTTATACAAATTAGTCCAGGGTTGGTTTTTTATGTTTTGAAACAGCATTTTCATAGTCCCACTAAAATATCACTATGTATTATGATAATGTGAGAAACCTACCCATAATTTACTCTGTCTAGTCCTTCTGTAGAATTAAGCTACAACGGTAGGATGACCAGATAGCAGGTGTGAAAAATCAGGACAGGTAATAGGTGCATATATAAGAAAAAGCCCCCAAAATCGGGACTGTCTCTATAAAATCGTAATAAGTAGCCTGACCCTGCTTCATCTGAAATCTTTGGCAGGACTCCGAGTAACTTCAATGGGAGTAGATCCATAGAACATAACATGCTGGATTAAATCTTTATTGGCACATATGAGGTAGAATACTTATGCATGCTTAATATACTTTGAATGTCAACTGATTGGCTAACCAGTCAAAGTGTCCCTGCTCATGATAGAGTTAATGAGATTAAATATATTCAAAGCTGCATCCTCTCTGTTCAGACCTTTTTTTCCTGTTGGCTTTTAATTGGCATGTGGGAAGTCTGATTTAGTCAGATATGGAGATTTAAATTCCTTTTCAAATGCTTATTCCCCTGATTTTAGGATTTTGTTTTTCCTGTAGGGCCATTTATCAGCGTAGTGCTGTCAAAGCTGGAGAATATGTTGGAGAATTCCTTGCATGTTAACTTGCTGCTCATTGGGATTATTACTCAGCTGGCCAGTTACCCACAACCGCTTCTTCGTTCCTTTCTGCTCAATACCAACATTGTATTGCAGCCTAGCGTACGGTCATTATATCAGGTACTTCATCAATGCTTATTTCATGCTCACTGCAAGTTTTGCCAATAATTCTAGTGCCTTGTTTACCTGTTTTTCAGTTTGTTGCTGTGCATTTGCTTTCCCCTACCTGTTTGAGGACCTCTCTGTTTAGTTTGATGTTTTAACTGTGCCAGTGCAAGGAGCTGGAAATTAACTACCCAACTGGAATTGTAACAGTCTCTAATTTGGAAAGAGAGAGACTGAGGTTTCAGGCCATAATTGCAAGGATAGTATTAAAAATTTACCATTCTTATTTTGGCAGGTGCTGGCATCTGTGAAAAATAAAATAGAGCAATTTGCATCCATCCAAAAAGATTTTTCAGGTCTTCTTATACAGGCCCAGCAGTACTTGCTTTTCCGAGCGGACATGTCTGATGTGGCTCCAGATTTACTAACCAAAGGTAAATATCAACCACTTTCACAGTGGTATATGATCTAAAACACTGACTTGCTGGTTATCTGCCCTATTTCCCACAGAAAGATAAAAACAGGAGGAGGGTATTATGCATATCACCAGCCAAAGGTATTTCTATATCTCTGTAACTTTAAAGGGACAATCCTAAGTTTTTAGGCCACAATATGTGGATGCACCTTGAAATTGTCTCCCATCTGGAAATTCTTAGTGTTTTATTTTAGCACATGAAAACTTATTTCTGAAAGAGTAACAGAATAAGGTCTTAGCATGACTTGCTGTCATACTGGCCGAGTACGTGGTTTATTGGGAGGGGTTGTATGTGTGCACTATCTCATTTTATGTTTAGTCTCATATTGAGCAGTGCATCCACTCTTTTTTGGTAATTCTTGGAGAGAGCAGTTGCAGAAATAAATTCATTGTGGAATTCTAGTAGATAAAACCTTATAGGCTGGACTAGAATATCTTTAAGGAAGATAAATGTGAGCCAGAAATTTTTGATTATGCCCTTTTAAATGGAAAGAAGTTGAAAACGAAATGAAGTACTAGGAGGGGCACATCAAAGGTGGGGGTAAGTTGGTGCCACCCCAGGGCACAGCGTTCCCACTCCAGCTGACTTTTCTAGCATCTGCTGCTTCTCAGACATGCTGTGTGCTACACCTATTTTCAATGGGCTGTCAATCATTAATGTTTCGTACAGTGTCAGATAATAAATTTAAAATGTAGAATTCTCTTTTCTAAATGATAAAATTCCTCCAGCAGCTGATGGGGTCAGGGCCTCACATTGTAGTCAGAGTTCAGAACTTCAGATGCCAGGTTCTAGAATTGCTGCTGAGTAGTCAGCACTAGGCTCCAAGCTTCCATTAAAACCTTGCTTTCACATATGATGGGAATGCATAGGCTCTGCTGAGAATAGTAACTATAGAGATAGCATGGCACTAGTTAGCAACAGAACGGGGTTCAAGAGATTCTATTTATTGAATCATTATCATCAATCATTTGGAATGAGTATCCCACTGTCCCTACACCAGATTTTTTGTTTGGCTTTTCATTGGTGTGTAGGGAGCAAGGGAGACGTTTTAAAAATGCTTATTTAATTGCTTTTTTCTGAGGGGCTTAATAATTTTCCTCAATTCTAATCAGCATGGTGTCAGCTTCTAACATTCCCAGTATGCATACTCTGCAGAATCATAGCCTCTCTCAGGCTACTTCTTGAAGCATTGGTCTGTGGAAGATGCATGCTGTAAATGAGATGTTTATCACAGAGACCAGTGGAGTTTAGAAGCCAGGTTCCAAGAACAGTAGATGAGAGCCTTGCCATTTTTTTTTTAAGGTACTGTCAATAAGATCTTTGTATAATGCATTCCTAACATAACTTCATCCCTCTTATAAGTGTTATGCTTCAAAGCTCTCTGTTGTAGCTATTCAGACCCAGTGAAACTGCTTCATAAAACAGTCTCTGATTTTGGCATTTATTTATATTTTCCTGTTTTACATCAGCATATTTGTGGGCTTCAATGTTTGCCGAGTCCCTTCATTGGGGTCATTATCCTGGAACCTGAAGCAGAGGCTGCTCAGTCACTGGCCTGTAACATTTTCTCTTGCCCTGTGGCAGCCCCTGTAAAGAATGAGCCTCTTGCCTAATGCTTAGAGACTAAACTATCGGCAGTTTTGGCTCTCAGCCATCCTAGCGATACCAGCAATCGAACAGTAATTCTTAGGGCAAGTTGCCTCCCTAGTCCACCAACACACCACATCATTATATTGATTAAGAAATGTAAAGCTGAAACTGCGACAGTATTGGCAAATAAAATATGGTTGGACTTTGAGATTATTGCAGGAAGCTAAAATGAAAATCCAGTATTAGGGAACGAAACTTTCTCCTAGATTCCCTTTTAAAGTTGAAAAGTGAAAGTGATGTATAACTGCAAACACAATCTTTCCTGATTCTTCCTGCATTACTGAATATAGTTGACCTCCTACAGGATTTAAAATTGAAAAACAAACTGATCCCATTGGTGAAAACTAATTCAAAACATAAGTGTTCAAGAGAGGAGATATACTTGGATCGCAATAATGCTGTAAGAGTTCTAGGAATAACGGAAAATTTACATCTCTGCTTATACTGAAATAGTATATGGTGAAGTGAAAAGTCTATTTGATTTGAGATTGCATATGTAGAGGCATCAGGTTATTAACCAGATAAGTGACACACACTCTACCTGTGTCCCTGGTAAAAACAAACAAACAAACAAACAACCACATCTAGAATATTAGACCTTTTCAGTCTCTATGCTGTAAGATTCTATACTGTGTACAGTTCTGTGCACCTAAATTCCAGAAAAATGGAAATTGAGAGCAGAACTGGATGAAAAATTTGACAGAACAGATTTCCATTGAAAAATACAGTTTCATTGAAATATTTTGCAGAAATGGGTCTATTTGGATGAAATTATTCAATAGGAAAAAAATCAAATGTTTAGGCTTTTTGCTTTTAATTATATTTAAATATTAAATATATTTAATATGTATATAAAAGATAATTCATGTTTTAATATAATATAAAAGTCAAAACAAAACATTTTGATGGCTATTAAGACTACTTTTTTGAATTTTTATTTTGCAGGCAATTTCAAAATACTTGCTTTTTGTTTTTCAAAAATGTTAGGATTTCCTGCAGAACAGAAATTCTGGTTCCCGACCAGCCCTAGTTGGGAGAAACCCAGAGAACAACACAAGTGACTAAAGAGTCTGGAGGGCGAGAGTTATGATTAACTAGAACTAGAAAAAGTATAGCTTTACCAAATTATTGCTAAGAGATTAAAATTTTATCCAAGTATCGGAAGGATATACACTAACGTCCATAAACTGAGGAAGGGGAAACAAGGATGGAGAAATATGGAACAGAGGAACTGCCATGGTGCATCAGACTAGTGACCCATCTAATCCCATATCCTGTCTCTAACAGTAGTTGGCTGGCACCAGATCCTTCAGAGGAAGGTGCATATAACCTAAATAGTGGAAAACTATAGAATAACCTGCCCATACTTTAAGGGAAGTTTCCTCCTAACCATATCATGCAGTGGTTAGTTTATGCCCTGAAGCATGTAGGTTTAATCCTTACTTTTTTTTAATTCTGTCTAATATAACAGTGGACATTCTTAGTGGTCATACAAATGACTAATTACATTTTGAATCCTATTAAGCTCTTAACCTCAATAACTTTTTGAGGCAAGAATTCCACAGGCTAATTATTTATCGTGTAACAAATAAAGTAATTCTTACACATTTTGAGTTTGTGGCCTTTCCATTTCATTGAATGTCACTTAATTAAAATGTAGTTCCAACTGGGGTTGAAATTAAAGTGCTGCTGCCTTTTTAGCTTACTACATTTTAAAATTTTGTATTACTTTGAATAAGAGACTAATCTTGTTCCCAATCCTGGAACAAGCTCTGTGAGAGCAGACTATATAGGTGTCTAGATAATGGAGAATGTGTGGTGGTCTCATTTATTTTTAAAATTTATTTCCTGCCTGTTCACAGGAAGATGGTAGCCTCCATGGAGAAAGCTCAGAGAGGGTCACAGCTGCAGAAAAAACTGAAACCTCAAATAGTATTTCTTAAATAATGGGTTTGAGCTTTGCAGAGTTGTCATGAAAATTTACCTGCCCAGGGCCAAAATCCACTCAGCTGCCTTTCCAGGGTGATGATGGGGAAACATATTTTACTTGTCTGTCCAAAACAAAAATAAATACTAATGCCAGGTAAGCAGGAGAGTAGACTAGTGCAAGGCTGTATTATTTTAAATTATACTTTGGGAAAGTGTTTTCCACCCATAAAGTGCAAATAACGCTGATTTCCCTTTTTAACGGTACCTTCATATATGTTCCTTTCCATTACTCTGCCTTCACATACATGTTGTTTCTTCCCACTGGCAGCAACCAGGTTGCTAAAGAAAAAAAGGGAGCACATGGGGAGTGGGGGTGGGGAATAACCCCACATGCCTATCTGAGCCTTGATAATTCTCTTTTGGGTCACGCGGTGTGTAAAAAATATTGCATTAGATACCAGTCGTGGAGTGAATGCATTCTCTAGCATGCAGTCCACGGTACTGTAGCTTGCAGTTTAAATTAGGTTTGTTTACTGGTCAAAACTGATTCTTTTTTTCTTCCTGGATTTAGAGAACATCCAGCACAACAGCAGCACAGGGAAAGGAAGAAATCTTTCTGAAGCTTCCCAAACCCTGCTCCAGCCTTTCTTGGGACACAGAGCAAAGAGAGTAACGGCTCTTCCTGGCATTCCCTTGCCTGTGAGGAATGCCGTGCTTGCAGCTGCCCTTTTCCCAGAGTTTCTGAAGGAGCTAGCAGCTCTTGCACAGGAACATTCCATCCTGGGTTACAAAATACCGGGTGATGTGGACGATTATTACTAGTGTCATTAAGATTTTTTTTCCTAATAGAATTAGATTTTTAAATGCAAAGCTGCTTACAAAAGAAAGTTCTACTTTGATACTTCCTGACAATACTTGATCTGGGGGGAAAAAAATCTCATTCCATGTTACCTTTATATTGGGCCTTATGACTTCCAACTGTGCAACATACTAATGATATATTCCTGAGGGGCTCTTATTTCAAATGTGTACCCCTCTTCCGTTGTGCATCTACACAACTTCCTTTACCTCAATGCTCCAGTTTTCAATTCTGGTCTAGAAAAGTGGGTTGCCCAGTGGGAGAAATATCTGATACGTAAATATATATGAAAACTGCACAAAATTGGTCAAATAAGCCTTCTGTGTTAAAGGCCAAGATTTTGGGGGGAGGGAGGGTGTTGTTTGCTTTATTTTTAAAAGGGGAGTCTACAGTCCCACCTCTGAAATCCCCTTTACCAATGGCTGGGGTTGTGAATCCAAGTGGTCTCGTGTTCTAAGTGCATGACTAGCTGAAAGCAGGTGCTGTACCCAACACATACCGTATTGCCTTATGTTGCAAACAAATCTGCAGCTCTCAGCTGTTGATCTTTTGAAGTCAAATGAAATGTATAAGTGGATGTAGACTGCAGACTGCTTGGAATTTTCCTTGCAGTTTCGCAGCGTTCTTTGATAATTATTCTAGTGCTACCTAAAATCTCAAGCAAGCCTTATTTAGTAAGATTTGCACAAAGTACAAAGCGAAATGTTTCTATGCAAGGTCTAACAAATTTGTAGAAGAAATTTGTTTGTGTTCTTCTATTGATAAGCTGAAGAAAAGTATTCAGTATCTTTCAGTAGTGTTAAAAGGGCGACTCCGTTAAGTACTGCTTTTTATGAAAAAGGACAGCTTGCCTCTGAAAAGGGGTTTTAATTTTTTTTAAATGTCATTTTGGTTAAGGAAAAACAAAATGGCTACATGTAAAGAGAAACTAGTTATTTATTTTTAAGTTATGTGCTAGCTTTGCCTAATATTGCACTTTCAGGGTAATGGGGAGGAATGTACAGTAGTTGGAGAGGAAAAAGTAACAGGGATAACTGAAAACTGTTTGCTAGTGACTAACTGCTTAAGAAAATTCTCTTCTGTGAGTAATGAGGTTCGTTAGAAGAACCCAAACATGATGAATTGGTGCATCACCGCTGCATTTCGTCTTACTCTTAGTGGCATAATTGTGCTTCCAGTGCTATACTTTGCTCTACGTGAATGGGGGCTCAGTTCATGAAAGCCTTAATGCTTCCCCTTTCTACTTCAAGGAAACTAAAACAACCCAAAAGCACTGGAAACCGGAGGTAAGAATGATATTAAAGCAGTTTTTGTTATGCTGCTGGTTATAATTCCCCAATACTGAAAAGCCCCATTTTATAACTTCCCCAATTTCAAACATGTTATCTCCACTTAAGGAATGTAAATGAAAAGCCTATAAAAAGAAAGATCAGGTAAAATTTTGTAAAGTACCTAAGTGACTTAGGAGCTGAAGTCCCATTAACTTGGTCACAGGGGGGTATGTCTAGATAGTAGTTAAACACTTGCAGCTGTCCGAGGCTTGGGCTGCAGGCTTACAAAGTTGCTGTGTAGATGTTTGGGCTTTAAGTTAAGCCTGAGCTCTGGCTCGGGGGTGGGGTGGGGGTGGAAGGGTCCCAGAGTCCAGGCTCCCGTTTGAGCCCGAATGTCTAGACAACATTTTTTAATCCCACAGCCCGAGCCTGAGTCAGCTGCCCCAGGCCAGCCACGGGTCTTTTATTCCAGTATAGACATACCCATAGGTGGTTTGAAAAGTGCACCCATCATCCATAGCAGGGAGAGGTACCGTAGTGCCTGACTACATTAAGTCCTGTCTGTAGGAGACACTAAAAGTCCTAAAGTAGATCTGTAGAGATTGCCACCTGCAAATACTTCCCTGGGCCTGCCATCACTTGTCTGTCTAGGTATCTGTAATGTACTCAATTCTGTGGTATCTGACCACCAGCTTCTTTCCCTCACAGCCTTGACTGCTGCCGCTCAGCCCTTTGTGCTCAGGCCCACAGGTCACTTTCTTTTCTGTTGCTTCTGCTCCATGCAACTCTTTACCTGTCAGATGCAATTCCACCAAACCACCCTCTAGCCTCCTTGCAGCTGCTCCCCTCAGCACCCATTAGATTGCCTTTTTTTAAAACTCATTTAATTTAGAAATGAGAGAATTCCTCTACTGATTCCATTGCTGCTGGAGCCATGGCCAACCACCAGCCTCAGGTCCCTTTCCTTCTCCTAGCAGCTGGTAGGTTCTTCACTCTCACACCCCTCACCTTAGAACTGTGGTTCATGCCTGTTCTCTCATAGATTAGTCCTCAGGGGAAGAGAGAGATGGCGAAGCATCACTTACCACAGTGCTCCAGCCTAATCTGGGCTGGGTCAGTGGCTGCTGAACTCCTTAAGCACTGATCTAACCTGTTCCCATGTCTTCAAAGCATAGCCACTACCTTCTAGCAAGAAGCTGATGTGTATGCTTTAAAATGGACTAAATACACGTAATACTAAAATAAGCAAACTTCAATGAGTCATAACCAAGTGGGGATTTACTCCCAAGAAACCATCCACATTTTTAAACTGTTAATGGGGTGAATTTATTTGGTAATTCTCCATTTCTTTGCCTTTATGTTAATGGTCTGATTTTAACTTTTTTGTGAACTGTTTAGGAGTGGTTTCATTTTAAATGTGCTTACTCATTACAATAGTCTGTTCTGAAGACAAAGGTAGATGGAGACCTTAAAATGTGGACTGTGCAAACTAGATCTAAGTTTTCTGGTTTTGACCTAGTAAACTGTAATGGTTCCAAAGGAGTTATTCCAGCCTACCACATTAGTGAGCTTTAAAAAACCTACAGTGTGCAGAGGAATTCGTACTGACAAGTCATTCCACTGTATGTGCACAAGGTATGCTTTAAACAAATGAAAACTGTCTGTCACCTATCTAAAAGGAGAGACCATATTATGGACTTGTAAATTTGGCAACTGATTCCTCAATTTTTGAGATATACAAAGGAAATAGCATATGTTTGGTCAGTTTATACTCAAACTCTAAACTGTCCAAATAAAGATTCAATATACATTATAGGACTTCTGGTCTGAGCTAGCATAGGCAGGGTTTCAGTGAGGGCTGAATTACAGAACCATAACCTCCAGCATCCTGAGAAAAAAATGAACTATGATATTGGTTCTTCCTACCGTCAATGTGTAGAGCAAACTACATGTAATTTAGCATGAAAAGGGTGGTTGTTTCATTATCAGAGCCTCAGATTAATAATCCTTTCTTGTGGAAGTCCTTCATCCGAATGCTGTTTAATATGCTGCTTCTTTCAAATTGGACTGATCTGGAACAGAAATCAAGACCTGATTCTGATCTCTGTTACACTGGTGGTGAGGAGGAAAATCAGACCCGAGGAGGGTTAGTTTTTTTTATTAAAAAGGTTGCCCTTCTTTTAGTACACTTAGATACAGTCCTTCAAAGTATCTGCTGTTCACCAATTGCTTTTAGTATTTAATATTTCATCGGGGTTTGTCACATCCTGTGGTGAAAGCGGAATGCATTCACTTAGTGTCATTATGCCTGTTTGGTGAATGCTACCTTGTTGGATAATCTTTTTGTGTTAAAGACAGACAGGTAAGATTGATCCATTTAACAAAACTGGTTTGTTTTTAAAACTTGGGTAAAGACACAGGTAATAACACACTTACACCTAGATTTCACCAGTTCCAACCTGGGCAATAGTGGCTAAAAGGATTTGACAGCTCCTTGGCGTATGTGCAGTGAGAGCTTTCTGCCCACTCCCTAGGGACACAACTGGCATGTTCAGCACAGAACGAGGGTTTACATTCAAGCTGCCCTTCTACTGCTAGCAGTAGGTCTTCCATTACAAGGCTGAAGCGTGCACTGCCATTGCCTGTGCTGGCATGCCTCTGGATAAACAGAGGACTTCATTCTCCAGTGTTGTCAATTCAGCACCTTTCACAAGCATTAAAAAAAAAAAAAATCTCTAGGATGGGAGAGGGGAAAAAAAGAGCAGTCTTATTTGGTGCAGTTAAATGATGTCACGCCTTTTACTGTATTACTTTGAATTGTAGCCAGAGCTACAAAGTCATTACTGCTTACTGTGCAAATCTTCTTTTATACATTGATTATAACATAGTTCCTCTTTGAGGGCAGCTTGATTTAATAAGCAATTTACTGTGCCGTACTGACTGAAATTACTATGTCATGCCTACAGTTTTTATGAAGGCTGCAATTCTTACATTTGTAATATTTAGACCTCAGCTACAATTGCAAGTAATGTAGCACTTTTACCCATGCTAGTTCTGGCACAATACAGTAGTGTCATGCTGTCACTGTCTAAATTTGATTTAGGTCATTACAAGATGTCCTTGGTTGCACCTTTTGGGCTTTAGCAATAGAAATACATTAGATAGAAGATGACCTCAATTACCAAAAACTAAGGTAAAACAACACAGGCTGGCAGTGTGGTACTCACTTCAGTGTGAAATACAGACAGACCTGAAATTTGTATTACTCTTGTTTGTCACAAGCAGAAAAAAAGTCATATAGTGGCCCTGTGTCAAGGACCATTACTGTAAAAATAAAAATAAGGGAGGGTAAAAATTACTCCTTGTTAATGTGTTTTTAGATTTCAAGTAATGTGGTGATAGGTGCCATCACAAAACCCTAAGATTGCTATGGTACGTATTTAATTTATAACTTCATTAGCTACACAAGCTCAGATTAATAACTTTCTTTGAGGGAGGTCCTGCTTTTCCAAATGTGATCTAGCATATTTTTTGTTTTGTTGTTGTATACTGGTTGAAGACATTTATGAATAGGAGTATTACTGTGTCAAGTACATATGCACTTTAATTGAGTTTTTGATCCTCTGGCCTCTAAGGGTTGCTGGGAAGTCATTACTGCTTACTGAGCAAATCTTTTTATTATTTGATTATGACAGTTTGTGTGGCAGCTGGATTAAGGCCTAAAACCCTTTATAGAACTTGTGCAAAGGCTGCGTTTCTGAACAAAATAATTTTCTTTGCCAAAGTTAAAGTGCCCATGTATACTTGTGTTTTTGATATATTAGCTTTGAGAGTTTTTGATATCACTAATATTTTATTGCAATTTGCTTAAAAATAACCAAGTGGATCTAGGCCAAAAAATAATGTAGCTGGGTTAAACCTAGGTCTAAATGCTACTCTGTCAGCTTGGCTAGCACCCACACCGAATGCCAGCTCCTCTCTAATGGAAAGATGTGGCCTTTAGAGACTACACGTCTCAGCGCTCCAGCTTGAGCCAAGAGGCCGTATCGCTGCTGGACACAACTCTGTTAAGAGTGAGAGTGACATTCAGTTTACCAACTCCAGCAATAGTTAGTTTTCCTTAAAGCTCCAGCTCAGAGTATTGTGATTAAATTAAAGCAAATTTGCACATAGAAGTTTCTGGCCCTCAAATTTAGAGAAGCTTGAATCTTCAGCCTTCCTGTTGAGTTTGGTGGCAGAATTTTAGCGAAGTCCTGCTGGGAGCCTGCACCAGCATATTGCTCATTCAAACTTGCTTTTCTTTTCTTTAATATTGCATACCCCACCCTCCTCCAAAGTCACAGAATCAGGCTACTGTCTGCAAGGACAGTGATTTGAACCCACAATTTATGAGGATAGAGGGCTGCTTGAAAAAAAAAAAAATCTCTTGGACACTTTGCCTGCATTCTGGCCCTGTTCTACCTTTTTTGTACTACTTGGGTTTCAAAAAGCAGGTAGAAAAAAAATCAGCTTTGCAGTTTAGCTGGGAATCCCTAGCTAGTATAGGGCCACTCTTTGCTTTCTAACCGCTTCCCCTGCCCCAGGACATTAACAAGAGAAGAGGGGAGGGCTGCTTCAGTAATCCTTCCAAGTGCAACTTGAAGTTATCCTGAGGCTGTTGTACCAGGGCCTAAATCAGCCCTCAACTAGCCATAGGAGTAGGGAGGCAAAGGTGAATCCAGTGCAGCTTGCCTGGACCTGTGGCTTTAATATATATTGCCTCATTTATAACATTAACAATACAATTCTTCCTTGGGCATTTAAAATGTACAGCCAACCAGATCCGTGCTATATCTGAAAAGATCAATTGTGACCTCCTTGCTGCTGTAACTTGGTTTTCTCTTGAAATAGAATGTTATGAACTTCCTGTCAATCATGAAAACAGCCAAGGGCAAAAGTTTTGATGTGCTGCTCTGTCTCCTTTCTTGAGCACCCTGAGATTATAGCTTTAAACAAAAAATGAAGGAGGGTATTTGTTCACGTGAGATGCCACTTTACACATACAGCACACACCAAAGGCCATAAGTCTGAGAGGCAGCTGCTGCACTTAGTGACTGTGGAAGTCTGTATATTACAAAGGGCTGCTCAGCACAGAAATAAGATTATTACACTAGAATATCACAGCAACTACTTAATGTCCTGGGAAAGGGTTCAAATTACATTAACCGTCACAAGTAGAATACCTAACCTGTAATGAAAGTTTCCATCAGACACCTCTATAACATGGATCAACTTAAACTCTGCTGTGAAACTTTGCAGCCAGGGCTGATAGCTAAAGGTTGTCTTTCCTCATTACTCCCACAATGCCAGAAAAAATATTTTGTCAGTTTCTCCCTCCAAACCCCAAATGCAGGATAACTACTGCTACACACGTATAATCAATGCCCCCTGCCAAAAGCTTTTACACTCTATCTGGTAAGAGCCCACATGTTTAACTACCTCTCTGTCCATTTGGATGAGATTGTAATGACTGTATGGCGTCAACTTTTATACATTGGTGAAATTTCTCTCTGTAAGCTGAAGGGCCAAAGGAAATTCTCTCACAGGCTGTGTACTAAATTAACACTGAGGATCTGGATGAAACTGTCTGTAACTCACCCTGCCTAACAGTTGGAGCACATCAGCTCAGTTGAGGGCTTCAGTAGCGAACTGATACCTGAGTTAAGGGCAGAACTGGAGCCTTAATTCAAGGAAGACCTATTTTGTGTCCTTTGTACAAGCCTTGTGACAGCCCCCCTACATTGCTCACTCCATAGACAGTCTGCACCGTCACCCCACAACACCCATCCTATGTTTCGTATTTGTCCGATAGTTTAACTCCTTGAGCATGTAGCGGAGTTGTCTCTCTGTAGGGAACAAATTTTGGGGGAGTTTAGACTTTGCCCTGAGCTTTTTGGTAGGGAGCAGGAGAATCATTCTGGCCATTTTTAACTGGATGTTTTATGTTCTGCTCAGAGGGGCACAAAGGCTGGGGTGTAGGCAGGATAGCTCAATCAAGTTAGCTGAAAGTGAACAAAAAGCACTTAACACTCAAACAGGATAACAAAGTCTATGAGTCTAAGGTCAGAAGGGACCATTATGATCATCTAGTCTGACCTCCCGCATGATGCAGGCCACAAAGCCGTCCCAATCCCTTTCCCTTGACTCTGCTGTTGAAGTCCCCAAATCCTGTGGTTTAGAGACTTCAAGTAGCAGAGAATCCGCCAGCCATGTCGAAGCATAAGCTTCCCTCCATCCCGGCTAACACTGCTTTAGACATGATAGCCAGCATCTTAATGCACATGCAAAGGACTTCATACACATTAAGATCTGATTCAAAAAGCTTAGCCTTTTTGATTGTCAGTCAAACTCCTGAAAATAGTTTTTGTTCCTATGCAAAATGTTGGTTTAAAAATTCAGCAAGTGAGGAGTCCATAATATGATTTCAGGTATCAGAGGGGTAGCCATCTTAGTCTAGATTTGTAAAAAGCGACAGAGTCCTGTGGCACCTTATAGACTAACATACATATTGGAGCATAAGCTTTCGTGGGTGAATATTTACTTCGTCATAATATGGTTGAAGATTTTTAACCTGTGTCCTTCTGTCTGCTTCTAATACAAGGGAAGAGTTTGTTAAACTAGAAGTGGATAATTGTATGTGCTGCCTTCCTTGGTCTCAATTGTATGTGTGGCAGGTAACGTTGAAAGCAGGTTGAGAGTTACAGTAATTGCTATTTTAAACTTAAAGATCTAATGTTGTATATTCATAGAACTTGTCCATTTTCTACCCTATTACGTAATTGCCTAGAACAAAATGGCTTTGAAAACAGGTAACCATTAAAGATACTTACCAACAGTAGTCTTGCTATGGTATCTGAGATCCTTCTATTTTAAGTATAGAGCAGTTACTTCTCTCTCTCTCTCAGATAAGGAGGTAAGTGTAACACACATCCCACTCCAAAGCTGCCCAACAAAAAGCATTAATAATACAAGAGGACAAAACCTTCTGGAAAAGGCAGGGTTGGTTTGTTTGTTTGTAAAGGTAAAGAATAGGCTTAAAACACATGGACTCATAAAATTCAAACTTTATGCAGATGCTCAGTCCATAATTCAGTCTTGTGCCTTTTGTTTCCTCCCACAATGGCAGGAGTTAAGGGCAGAGCATTAATCTAACAAATTCAAAGTTCAGTGTATATTGAGGTTTGTGTCATAACCATTTATTATCTGGATGTGTTTTGTAAAATTGATTGAAATTTAGCACTCTGAACAAAGTCATGGAACAAAACAGGTGCCACTAAGTAAAAGATAAAATGGTGGTTTTGCTCAGATGTGACAAAATGATAGTAAAGCCTTTGTTTGAATGTCAGTTTAAATGCACATTTTTTTAAAAGGTCAATGTCGGTCATTGCAAAATTCAGAATAAATCTTAGTTTTCAGACAAAACAGGCAACCTAACATTAATGCTTTTTGTCGGCTGCACAACCTTTTAACTAACTTATTTTTATGTGAACAATGGGTACACATTTTATTCAATAAATATATTTGAAAACTCCTGCATTTTGCCTCTTTTCTGCTTACACTTTGAGCTTGTTTGTTCAGATGTTTCCCTGTCAGACAGTAGCACTGATAATCAAAGAATGAAGTACCAGGGAGCAGGGCTGAACTAGCAATTCCATAACTTGAAGAGGATAGCTAGATTCCACAGAAGAGGCCTGGGCTACATCCTCGCTGAATTAAGCCCGGATTTTTAAAGGTATTTAAGAGCCCAAATCTCATTTCAAAAAGGATTTAGGCATCGGAGTCAAAATCCCATTGACAGTCAATGGGATTTAGGCTAAGTGCCTAAATCAGTTAGGCATTGCAAAACTGAGCACTGCAGCATGTAAATAGCTTTAAAAACCTGTGCCTAAGAGCTTAGTATGGTATGTGCATGCATTCCACCCTTCAGAAGTATCTTTGAGCTTGAGGATAATTGTGGTTTTTAGAAGGGATTATTTAGCAGCATCAAAAGAGGCTTCCGAACTCCAGAAACCACAGTCCACAGGCTCTTGAAGTAGCAGGATTTTTCCATAATGCACAGGACTGCCTGGGCTTCAGCTGCCTTAGTTAGTTTTAGGGGCCTATTTAGCCACTGGGGGGAGATTGGGTTTAGGATAGATCATCGCTTGAAGGAAGGAAAGGCAGCTGGGCAGTCTCTTCTCCTTTCCCTCCCTCTGGCAGAGGCAAGGGAGGAGTGATAGCACTGAGGAACTACTTCCCCCTCCTAACAGATGGGGGGAGTGGCCAGCAGTGGCTGAGCTGCCACTGGGTGTTTGGCAGAGCGAGTAGGTGGTGTGACCTGTTCACATCATTACATTTCACTCTAAAATGCGTAAATTTCTATTCCTTCAGAAAAACATTGCTACCTGGCAATATTGAATCACAACATACATCTGATACAAGTTCTAGAGTATTCAGACAAACAGTAACGTATTGAATCACTTACCTTTCTCATGTGTGCAAAACCAGCTACAGGAAAAGTGAACAGCACTCAATACTAGCTTCTGCTATTCATTTGCACTGAATATCTTTTCTTTTGTCCTGACAGAGGGTGAAGTATTCAAGGAAACTGTATAACAAGATACTACCTGAATAACCACCGAAAGGGAATAATAATTCTGTTCCATGCTGAGACTACACAGTATCTTTTTCTAGCTCAGGCTGGAATTGAACTGTACAAAGTCCAGGGAATGTCCAGTCATTCCCTCTGTAGGGACCTGTGCAAGTTGCTCTGAAAGTTACTGTGACAACCTCTTCTCTAATATTTGTTTCACCAGCACAGGATCTGCTCGCCCTCTTGTTGTTCTTTGAACCAGTCCAATCAGTTTATTCAGAACTTTTTGGTTTCCCTTCTTTATCTCCATAACCTTGAAAACAAGAGCACAAAGTATTTATCATGAATAATGGAAGATGTTCCGTTTTCCCTCTAAACAGATGCATATTTTCTAACCTTAGCACCAGCTTAATGTAGGCCCAAAATTTAGTATCAAAATAAGTTTTTGCCTCGATTCTGCAAGAGCTGTGTGTGGCTGGAACCCTAGGACTGCTTGGAGCCCCACTGGATGAGCAGAGGTCACTGCAGGATCAGGGCCTTAGTCCCAGTAGAATTACTGGTTTCATGATTATTTTTTATTCCAAGGAAAACATTTTTTTAAGAAACTCCTTGCAGTGTTTGCAAGTCAAAACAGTGCAGTACTGCCTGAAAGTAAGACTTGTCTATTTTACTTTTCCTAATGGGGTGACATGCAAAAAGAAAGATAGCAGCCAATAAACAAATTTTAAAGTGTTCAATATCAACTGATAAATTAATACATGTAAATTTATTACTAGAGTTCAGAATTATTTTAAAAACTCTACTATGACACTGTGTCCTTTTAAAGTGGAGACACTTGTATTTCATTAACACTGACCTGGCATTTTTCACTGAAGCAGAAACTTTAGAACTAACCCTTTAAAATTTTTATATCCGACATAATAACTTGGAGGAATCTCTTGCAATAAAGCATTAAATGCTTTTAACTATGTTTGTCTCACTGGTAGTATTTTTATGATGAATAGACAAGTCTTTTTTTAGACCCACTGACTGACCCCAAAATGCCTGCACTATTACTGTGCACTGGTCACTTGCATGGCCAGTCAGGTAGCCATTGACCCATTTGTGCATGCAAATACACAATTTGAAAATAGAAAAGTTTAAGCTGGAAATGATGGTTAAAAAAACCTAAACGTTTAACAAGGGAAGTATGAAATTCACCATCGCTTTGTCTTAAATCAGGTAGGAGGTCTTCCTAAAAGATACATTCTAGTTCAACCATGAGTTATTGAGCTCTATCATGTTTACTTATGTAGCAGGGGAAAATAATTCTCTGCATTGGTGGGAAGTATTGGGTGAAATTCTATAGCCTAACTTATGCATGTTGTGAGACTAGATAGTCTCCATTGGCCATGAACTACCAGCTCCACCAATTGCATGCACAATTGCAAATACATCCACCTATTATTTAGGGTTACCATACGTCCTCTTTTTCCCGGACATGTCCGGCTTTTCGGCAGTCAAACCCCCGTCGGGGGGGAATTGCCAAAAAGCCGAACATGTCCGGGAAAATGGCGGCTCTGCTCCTCCCCTGACTCTTCGGCTCTGTTTAAGAGCCGAGCTGCCTGAGCGCTATGGGCTTTAGGCAGCCCCCTTGCCTCCGGATCCCAGCCGCCGGGCGGGCACTTCCCCTCCTGGGCTCCGGCAGCGCAGGGTCCGGGGGCACGGGGGCTGCCCAAAGCCGGTAGCGCTCGGGCAGCCCGGCTCTTAAACAGAGCCAAAGAGTCAGG